TGTTTTCTTGTTAAAAGATTATTTTTTTCAATTATGCGTAAATAAGTATGTATAGCATGTCTTTGCAAAACCAAATGATATTGTTCTTTTTTTTTTCTTTTTTTTCTGATTCTGTTAATCTGCATCAAATCTCCAACCCTTTTGGCAATATTAAAAATTCTACTGAGGGGCAAATAGTAAAGACAATAATATAATGTTTCTCTTATAAAATATTCATAATTTATCAAAATATATTGTAAACACACGAATCCAAATTTGAACTTTTTGGTAGTAAAAGAATCCTGGAGAAAGATCAAAGCAAACACAATTTAATTACTGTAATTTTATCTTTTAAGAAAATACAAATATGTCATTTTAAAGAATTTCTTTTTTATGTGAAGTATATACATCGTCGCAACTAGTTAATTTTATCTGATATGATTTGTTTAACAACATATCAACCTCTTATGGGTCATTTAATGCTAAAATTTAATTTTCATGGAAGCTTTAGAGTAGTAAAAATATGATATATATTATTCTGCTTTCGCAGTCGAATACATGGTAGATGATGCTCAGCTTTTGTGCATAGACATGTTTGTGTGGACAGAATTACTAGAGGCGGTGATATGTGTGTTTTATGTTGTAGTTTTGTTGAAGTTATATTTTGCAATACAGTTTTTAATTGTAGGATATTATATGGATTAATGTCATAAAAGTCTTTTCATGTTGATTGATACTTTGGTTGATTTTGTTTAGCGACATATCAACAACTTTAATGCTGAAATTTAAATCTTTTGAAAACAATTTGTCTTCAACTAAATATATTTTGAACGCAATTTTCTGCCTTCACTTACAGATAAAATGTATTGTTGGTCATTTTGCTATAAATATTTATTGTTGGCCAATCTACTATAAATATGTATTCCTGGTTCTTCTTCTATAAATATGTATTGTTGGTCATTTTGCTATAAATATGTATTTTACTATAAAATGCCTAACTGGAACTTCTACTACAAAAATGTATTTCTATACTTTTATTGTGTTTTTTGTTTTGTTTTAGGGTGCATTATTTGCCCATAGCTAGGACCTGAACAGGTGCTACCACCTCGAGTCAGGATCAACAGCAATTAAGAGGTGGTTCCATGTTCCTGAAAATCTCCCAATCAGAGGCCTTGCTGCCGGATGTAGATTATCGTCATGCCCAGGACTGAGTTTTATTTATATTTTGAAGTGAGCACGTTTTAGACTTATGTATAATGTATGTTTCATCAACAAAGAAGAATACTTAACAAAGTTGTTCTTCGGATTTATTTTTAAAATCATGATTCTTTTTTTTTTTCCTTGCTGCAGCCACGTGACTAAAAAGAAATATTTGTATCAAAAAATGATGATGATGATGATGATGATGATTTTTTCGATTATCATGTTTTCCATGATGATAATTTTTTCGATGATAATGTTTTCGACGATGATTATGATGATTTATTTGCGATGATGATGTTTTCGATGATGATGATAATATCTTTTTCGATGATGATGTTTTTGACGACGATGATGATGATGATGACTTTTCCATGATGTTTTCGATGATGATGATGTTTTCGATCATGATGATGATTTTTTTTGCGATGATGATGTTTTCGATGATGATGATGATGATGATGATTTTTTTCGATTATCATGTTTTCGATGATGATGATTTTTTGTGATGATGATGATTTTTTGGGATGATGTTGATGTTGGTGATCTTTTCCGATGATGATGTTTTGGACGATGATGTTCCACAGAAGGATGCTGAGAATAACATGCACCGAACACGTGAGCAAAGAAATCAGTTTTTTGAGAAAATGAAAACAAGAAGACCACTTATGCTTCGAACATGAAAGGGACAATTCAAATTTCTTGGGCATATAATGAGAATTGAAGACTTGGAAAATTTGACACTCACAGGACATGTGGAAGGCAAGAGGGACAGAGGAAAACAAAGCGTAATCTATTAAAAGCGCTGGTAGAAGAAGAAATGAGCCGTTTGTATAATACTGCAGTGTCGTCAGAATGAATAAAAATGTTTGCACACTGATTGACATGAGCGTACCAAGTGACAAAAAACACCTCTGCTGAGTCTTTAGAAAAACTAAACAAATACAAAGACCCGAAGAGGGAAACAGAAAAGAATCTGGTCCTTAAATAGTAAAAATGTTCTTGTTGAGGCTGGAGCTTTGGGTGTTATCAAAAAAGGAACTGAACAACAAATCAACAAAATCCCCAGTGCACCATCTCTCCAGGATTTGTTTTTCAATTGTTCTCACAAGCTCAGCCCATATTCCGCGAGGAGCTTTGTCTGTTTAATTTTTTTTTTGTTTAATAAAATGGAAACAACAAAAAATCAAATCCTTCGCTTGTCCTAGTTCATTGGTTATGACCTGGCATGCGATTATAAACAAATGCAGGTCAAAAAGGTTTTTTTATAATAATAATAATAATAATAGGGTGTTGTGTTGCTCTTAGGTATGTTGTCGAAATAAATTTCAAAATATCAGCTGTAGAAAAAACAAAATCCTTTTGAGATACCCGTTGTGTCACTGGGTGTTTCTTATTTGTGTCAAATAAGAACGAACACACAATTCGAAGATTTATACATTTTATTCACCGTTGGTTAATAATTGATGTAAATGATAAACTGTGGATTACTGATAGATTAATAATTCTTGACAAGGAACATGAGAAAATACGTGACCGCCATCTTGAAATGCCTTTTCTTCTCTGTTCCTAGAGAGTTCTGATCAAGGAGCATAACTCCCTTGTTATGACGTTCTTTCTAACAGATACACAAATAACTATAATGATAATAATAATAATAATAATAATAATAATAATAATAATAATAATAATAATGGCGTCAGTAGGTAGTTTTTAGATGCACATGGCAAAAATCTTTAGATAAAACTCAGCAAGAAACGAAAATATATTTGTAAACCCAATTAAATAAAAAATGAATAGATAATAACAACCATTAGATAGTCTTACGTGTATGCATGAAATTAGCATTGGAGTAAAGATCTTTAAAAAAAAACGAAAATACATTTGATACACTCCTAATAGAAAAGATAGCAAAAGAAAAATTTGCAAATATATACAGTGTGCAATGGGTAAATTGTCGCGTTTATATATCTTTCATTTCGCGCATGCGCGTTGTTTGTTTTTCACTCCACCAGAAATTTGGAAACGGCATGCTGTACTGCTTAGCATTCGCACAGGAAGCCCCAGTACAAACATTTCAGAGTGTTTGGGTGTCAATCTGAAGACAGAGCATAGGATTCGGAAAGAGTTGGACGAGTCTAATGGTGATTACGAAGGTACGGCAGCTCAGAAAACTCAATCTGATCGCATATTTGATTATCATATATGTGGCGCAGAGACAAATAAAACTCCTTGTAACACCAAAAATGAACTGAAGGCAGGGATTATGGCAGCATTCACCAAATTAAACAAGGAGGCCATCCAGAAGAGTTGCAAGAGATTCTGAAGTTCTCTGGAAGCTAAGATTAAAGCCGATGGCGATTTTATTGAATAAATTTACTCTTTAGTTATCCAAGATATTTTTATGTAATTTTGGTAAATATGTCTGTTAAAATGAGATGTCAGTGTTCTTTACATTTATGTGCAATTTAGACGACTATTCATCCATCGCACACTCTGTGTGTGTGCGTAATATATATATATAAATATATATATATATATAGAAATATGTATATAAAAATATATATACACACACACAAACAGAAAAAGATGCATATATATATATATATATATATATATATATATATATATATATATGAAAATGATTGATTAACTCTGTGCTGCAAAGTTTAATTGTTATTTTTATTTATGTGCAATTTAGACGACTATTCATCCATCACACACTCTGTGTATATATATATATATATATATATATATATATATATATATATATATATATATATATATATATATATATATATACAATGAAGAAAAAATTATATATATATATATATATATATATATATATATATATGAACAGAAAAAATATATATATATATATATATATATATATATATATATATATATATAAAATGATTGATTAACTCTGCTGCAAATTTTAATTTACAACGTCTTATTGCAAAGACTGCCAGTGTGCATTTTTTTCAGAGGGAAGTGCGAATGGTTGCAGATCTTTATTGACAAGTCAGCAAACAAACAGGACGCAGAAACAGAATCGGTGTCACGGTTGATAAAGACAAAAACGTGTTCCTAGAAATGTTCCGGGGGTGGCAATTGACCTAATAAAACGACTGGTTGGTTTAAAATCTCGTCTGTCTCCCTGGACGTGTCAAAGTGCAGTCTCTGGCTTCGGAAATATACGCCAATTTTGGTCAAACTTCAGCTGTGTGGTCGGTTCATATCTATCAAAAATCAATTTTCTAACTCAATCGTCTCTGTCTATCAATCTATCTATCTGTCTATCCATCGATGTCAAATAATCAATTTTCTAACTCAATCGTCTCTGTCTATCAATCTATCTATCTGTCTATCCATCGATGTCAAAAAATCAATTTTCTAACTCAATCGTCTCTGTCTATCAATCTATCTATCTGTCTATCCATCGATGTCAAATAATCAATTTTCTAACTATGTTATATTGTTTGTTTATTTTATTCAGAGAACTCTTCAGTAGAATCACATTTCCGTTACCTCAAGTCCTCTCTTCATCAACCAACATAAACTAAAGCGTAAATTTATTCAATAAATTCGCCATTGTCTTCAGCGACAGCCTCCGGAGGACTTCGAAATCTCTTGAAACTCTTCTGGGTGGCCTCCTTGTTTAATTTGGCGAATGATGCCATAATACCTGCCATACCACCCCTGAGATCTGAGCACCTAACTCCCTAGATTGCAACCCTTTGATTGTCATGTGTGTGGCGCAGTTAGGCGAGAGATTTATATGATCATAGAGAGAAAATAGAGAGATAAAAAATTGAGACTGATAGATATGCATGAATCGAGTGAGATCGATAAAAAATGAATAGATAGATAGATAATAAAAGACTGCGATAGATAGATAGATAGATAGATAGATAGATAGATAGATAGATAGATAAAGAAACGAAATGAAAATAACACTGACATTTCATTTTAACAGATATACTTACCAATTGATTGAGTTAGATCGACAAACTTTTATTCGAATTCGAGTTCTTTAGATTCGCTTTCGTGCAAATATCTTTGGGAAGTGTATTATAAAGCTGCAAAGAGTAAGAGGCTAATGAGTGATGTCAGTTTTTAGAATGACGAACACCAACTTGCTATTTAGAGTCAAAACGTGTCTGCTCACGCCAGTTGCTATGTATACAGCCGAGAAGAAAGACATGACTGCCTACTGCAGTTAAGAGAGCAGAGGAAACCACATAGTCTAACCAGATACATATAGGACACCACCGGCCTGCCCATTTTCACTTCGGGAAATATGCATTTCTTATTTCTTTCTTCCCTTACAACAATCCGACTCATTAATCCTCTACCTTGAGAAGTCACTGGGCCTCGCATTGAGTGAAATATCAGTAAATAACAAAAAAGATCGATCGATAGATAGATAGATAGATAGATAGATAGATAGATAGATAGATAGATAGATATGATGAGGTTAAGATAGATAGATAGATAGATAGATAGATAGATAGATAGATAGATAGATAACTGATTGAGAGAGATATATAGATATGAAGATACAGAGAGAAAACAGAAAGAGAGAGAAATGATTGAGATCGTTAAACAGATAGATAGATAGATAGATAGATAGATAGAAAACTGGTTGAAATAGATTGATAGATATTAACGCAGAAAGTGATAAACGGAAAGAGATAGAAAAGATTGAGACAGATAGATACACATGATTAAACTTAGATAGGTAAAACAGACACATAGATAGATAGATAGATAGATAGATAGATAGATAGATAGATAGATAGATAGATAGATAGATAGATAGATAGATAGATAACTGATTGAGAGAGATTGATAGATATGAAGATAGAGAGAAAAAAACGGAAAGAGAGAGAAATGATTGAGACAAATAGATACACATGATTAAACTGAGATAGATAGATAGATAGATAGATAGATAGATAGATAGATAGATAGATAGATAGATAAAGAGACGATTGAGTTAGATCGATAGATATGAACTGAGCGGCTTGATCGATTCATATACAGGTTCAACCGATATATATCCTACACGTCTTCATAATATACATTTCTTAATTGATCCTCCCCCCTCTCTTACGACAACCTGCCACAGTATCCATCTGCTATGGGCCTTTTATTGAGTGAACTAACAGTAAAAAAAAAAAAGAATATTCTTTTCTCTTCAATTTCACCTGTTATGACTGGAATTGTCTTCTAATCAACTCATGAGGAAATTTCGCCCTTTCGTGTTTTAGCACCAATCAACCACTCTTTTGCTCCGCCTATTATCCTTTCTTCTTGATACATGTCCTGCCTTCTTCCATTTTTTAACTTAATATCTTCTGAATCTTTTGCTCACTTGTATTGCATTAACCAGTGTGTGTTTTCAAATTTCTTATCAAGTTGCTTTGCTACTTTTCATGTCTCGCAATATGTGAGATTCTGTATTCATTATAGACTTTATGCTTTAACCCTTTGGAGCCCTGCGTTCCAAAACAAGTTAACCGTTCTTCCTGAGTCCTGAGTCAAAATTCGCAAATAATTGGTAAGATATATATAAAAATACATACAAGTGTTTACCCACCGTTCAACCGGTACCTGAGCATTAACTCATTTTTTCTACCACCAGTAAAGCGGTTAGTAGGCATTACGTCATTTTCTCTACCACCGGTAAAGCGGTTAGTGCGCATTACGTCATTTTTCTCTGCCACCGCTAAATCGGTTACTGGGCATTACGTCATTTTTCTCTACCACCGGTAAAGCTGTTAAACATATTTGCTAATTGCTTTTCATTTTTGTTCTACTCTTGGTAGAGTGTTACTGAATGAGGATAAGGACTTAAGTGTTGACACGAAGAAGCCCATATGAGGATATGTAGGACTGAATGATTGGTCTGTTTAACAGCATATCAACACCTTATGGGTCATTGAATAGTAAACGTTCATTAGAAACAAAGAAAAGAGTAACGACCGAAATGCTATGTAATATCAGTTTTTCTGGGCGATAGTGAATGTTGCTTGATGAAGTGAACACTTGAAGTAACGGAAATGGGATTCTAATGAAGAATTCTCTGAATAAAATGAACGAAAAACGTAAGCCAAATTTAAAAACATTGAAATAAAAAAAAAATAGAAACTTATATTTAAAATCAGAAAGTGACAGTTAAAAATTCTGGGATACGTAATGAAAAAAGAGGGCTTGAAGAATTTGATACTCACAAATCATATTAAAAGCAAGAAATGACCTACAAAGCATAGAAAGTTGTAGAGAGCGATGAACACCAACGTTCACAGCACATACAAAGAAGATAGATTTGTTTGCTTGTTTAACGGCATATGAACACTTTATGGGTCATTTAATGCCAACATTTAATTTTCTTGAGAGATTTAAAGTAATAAAAATATGATACATGTTATTCTACTTTCGCAGTTGAATACATGGTAGATGATACTCAGCTTTTGTGTTGATACATGCTTGTGTGGACATTATTAGAGGCGGGGATATGTGTGTTTTATGTTGAAGCTTTGTTGAAGTTATATTTTGGAATACTGTTTAATTTTTAAAAGATTGTAGGATATTATATGGATTAATGTCATGAAAGTTTTTTCGCGATGGTTATTTGGCATTATTTTAAATGGATTCGGGTGAAGTCGCTACAATTTGTTAGTATGTGCGCATTGTAAGTAATAAAAATATATTGCTGGTATTTTTACTATAAAAATGTTTTTTGTACTTTCATGGTGTCTTTTTTTCTGGTGGGGTATTATTTAGTCATAACTTGCTTCAACTATATATATATTTCGAACACAATTTTATGTCTTCAACTAAATATATTTGGAACGCAATTTCATGCCTTCACGTACAGGTAAAATCTACTGTTGGTCATTTTGCTATAAAAATACATAGCTGAAGCATGTACTACAAAAAATATATTTTCATACTTTTATGGTTATTTATTTTTTTTTTTGCTGTTTTCGGGTTTACTATTTGCCCATAGCTGGGACCCTAACAGGTACTACCACCCAGGTAATTGTTGACCTGGGAACAACAGCAATTAAGAGGTGGCTCCACGCTCTTCAAAACCTCTAATCTCCCAATCAGAGGCCTTGTTGCCGGATGTAGTTTAACGTTATGCCCAGGACTATGATATGTAAGATAGATAATGATTTGCTTTCGACTTGAAGAGATTACGATCGTACCGATCGGGGAAATATTCTTGCGGTAACACATTCTATAATGTAGCCTTTTTGTTAGGTTCATTTTTTACTTTCTAACCAATAGTTTCGTTCCAGTTTCATGGACTTTCTTTAATGACATTTCCCCTTGGCAAGTAGATATAAATCTTATGGTTTTTAGCGCCGACCTAAAGCTGGCAGTTATTTTGAGGGTTAATGTGCAACAGAATTCGATTCTGGGAACAGACGATTTTTTTTAAGCCTGCGTGTGGTTATTCTAAGAGGAACTAACTTGAACTGAAAGACCGCATTCCAAAACTGAGATAAGTTCATTAATTTCGTGGAATGTTAAACGATATAAGATTTTTTTTCCTTCGCCAGGACATTTTGAAAGTAGAGACTTAGTCGAAATGTGGGGAGTGAAGTTTGTTAATATTTATGTTCTGTATAATAGATGCCAGAAACTGTTTCACCCCAAACAAAGATTTTAGAACGCTCGCTTGCTATTAGACATAGGTTCGAATCTCACTATGGTCGATTTGTCTGGGAGATAACTTGTTGATTATAACGGCTCATGGAAGCGATCCTGCAGTGCGGCATCTTTGGAAAGTGTCTGAAAAAATACCATGTATTATCCCAAGCCGTTTGAGTGAAAATGGGTAGACTGAACCTTTTGGAAAGCATCGATGATTGTTCTAGCCCGAAGTCACAAGACATCGTCACCAAGGGTTTGAGTGTACTGGCGTTGTTCCAAAAGCGGATCTCGCTAGACGACGTGGTCTCTCCCGGAAACTGTAACCAATTTCCGGTCAGTATAGAACTGTGGGTTGAGTTGCTAGCTACCCTGGCAGACGGGTATGATCGGAAAGGGATAGCCAGCAATTATATATATATATATATATATATATATATATATATATATAGTTTATGAAAAACTCGGTAATCCGTATGGGTAAACCTTAGGAGGATAAAATCCAGAGAGCTCAATGTAAATTCAGAGCAAATAATTTAAATAAAAACAGACCACTTTAAGGTTCCATGTAATAAATCAGACTTTACTTCCAAACATGGAAGTAAAGTCTGTTGGTCCGCAGTCCTTTTAAAAGGACTGTGGTGAAATAATAATTACATGGAACCTTAAAGTGGTCTGTTTTATTTAAATTATATATATATATATATATATATATATATATATATATATATGAATAACGTCCAATCAACACTATTCTTGTATATATATCTCGCGTGGTCATGTGTGACGTCACAAGCTGCAACTCGATTTCCGCTTCCGCGTCTCGCATACACGTGTTAGTCGTTGATTTGAAATTTTGCAAAAAAAAACAGACTATCATTATTGTTCCGTGTACTGGTTGATATATTAAAAAGTAATTGTCATCTTTGATAATGGCTTATGTAAACTGAAAGCTTAGATTGGATTTAAACATGTATCAATATGGTGATTTCCTTTCGTCCTTCAATGATAATGTTATTAAACTTATCAGACAATATGAAAGGAACTTACTTAAAATAAATACACAAAACTAGTCTATATTATTTACTGAAACATGCATCAATGAAAATTTGCTGCCCAAATATACACAATAGTATATATATATATATATATA